TGCAGCTCACCCCTATTGGAGGCTCCTCCTTGGAGTAGCAGCCAGGGTATGGCAGCCTCCTGCGCCTCCAACTGTGGCTTCTTCCCCCCCCCCCCCCTTGGTGATACCACAGTAGACATGGTTTCTTGTCCCGTACAGGGGTGGCTGGGCATGGGCTACCACACTGAGCTGAGGGCAGAGGGAGCCCCTCATCTCCAGTATGCCCTGACTGCTGTGTGTGGGAGGGGACAGTGAGGGGACGTTGGATGACGACAGAAGGGATTGAAACACTGTTTTGAGGAGGGACCCCACAGGTCTGACCTTTTCTTTGGAATTAAATGATTTTTCCAAAATGTTGACAAAGGTGAATCGGGTTAAGTGAATAAGAGTGTTCCTTGTATTGTTCGTGCACGTTTTCTGTACGTCTGAAATTACTCTCAGTGTGTGGTTGAAAAGGAAAAGGAAAGATGAATGCCTTTTCTGGAACCACAAAGCCAATGCAGCGAGCGAATCCAAAAGAAACATTGCAGGAAAAGAGAAAGGACAAAAATGTGTTGCTAAAAAAGAAAAAAGAAAAAAAGCGGAAACCCCTTCCCCTGGAGCACGCAGGCTGCGGCTCCCTCGGGGATGCTGCTGTCCCTGCACGTCGGCCGCCCCTCCCGCCACCGCGCAGACACTGCCCCCTGCGGTGACTCACGCCGGGACCGGGACCGTTTAAATACCGGGAGCGCCGGGCGAGCCTCACTCATGCTGCAGCCTTGAGCCTCCCACGTCTCCTCTCGGGCTCGCTCTGGTCGAAGGCGGGCGGGCGGGCGCCAAGCTGCTGGTAAGTAGGCGGGATCATACCCGCTCCCTTTTCCTGCGGACCCCGCTCCCCTGGGGACAGGCTCCAGACTGGGCCGGGCTGGCGTGGCGCCTGGGATGCTTTCAGGAGGCCGCCCAATGGAGCCTGCGCCGGAGGGGGCCCGTCCGCCCCTTGTCCAGCGCGCCTGGGCCCCCAGCCCTCTCTGCTGATCCGCCACCAGCCTTCCCTGGCCCTTGCCGTCCCATGGTGTCAACCCGGGGTGTGAGAAGACGTTTCAGGGCGGTAGACACATTGAAAGTTGACCAAATGATCACACCAGTTACCCAGATGGTTACCTTCTTTGGATACTAGCTCCACTGGCGAAGGGTTTCTCTTCTTCTTTTTTTTATAATCTATTTTTATTAATTTCAGAGTGGAAGGGAGAGGGAGAGAGAGAGATAGAAACATCAATGATGAGAATCCTCAGCTGCCTCCTGCAGGCCCCCTACTGGGGATGGAGCCTGCACCCCGGGCGTGTGCCCTTGGCTGGAATCAAACCCAGTACCCTTGAGTCCGCAGACCGATGCTCTATCCACTGAGCCAAACCAGCTAGGGTGGGTTTCTCTTCTTAAGACTCAGGTTATTGAACCCAGGTCCTCACTTACCGGGAGGTCCCCAGTGGCCTGCCCCGCATTTGGGTCTGTAGGGGACCCCTGAGACCCTGCTTCAGGGGGTTCCCTGGCCGGCATCAGTCCTCCTCTCCTCATACTCTCAGCTGCTACAAAAGCGACTCCAGCAGATGTGCTGGTGCAGGTTTTCCAGCTTGACCTCCAGCTGTGGGCTCGGGATCATTCGGGGGGTCTAAGTCTGTGTGCGGCTTCCGCGACCCCGTCCTGGCAGCTCTCCCCTCTTGCCAGCCAGTGAGCCCCTGGCAGAGGCTTTTGGCTTTGAACAGGGAGAGTCAGGGCTGGGGAGGGATTTGGGATGAGGGTAGTAGACACGCTGTACCTCTACCAGCATCTCTGCTCAACCCCAGAGGCAGGGGCGGGGCCAAGGAACCAACAGGTGAAAACCGGAACTTTCCAGAGCCCACCTGTGGCAAAGTGTGAGAGAGCCAGTCTACCTCCAGGGGCAGGTATGTCAGCGAAGGGCAGGCTGTGCCTCTCTCTGGGATGACACAGTACCCAGACCAAAGTGCTGGGTGCCTGTCGGTCACACTGTGGCTTCTCCTTTCGGATTTCTGGGGTATGGCAGCCTGTCTCAGGCGGCTTTCAGATGATGCTTCGGTGCCACTGGCTCCTAATTTAGAATTCTCCAACGGCTGTCATTTCTGTTGCTCTGCATCAACGGAACATCTGGGATGCATTCAGGGCCAGACAGTCCCATTTGCCTGTGGTCCTGAGTCAGCTGGGCGGGCTCCGCACTGATGAGATTAGCATGTGAGTGAGGTCTGGCCAGGGGGAAGGGTTCTGAGCAGACTTTGCAGAAAGTCAGGGCACCCATGGAAAGTTCTCCCTAGGTCCGGGGGATACTACCTGGGCTTGCTCAGTAAATGGAGGGGGTGGGAGTGGGGAGCGGGTGGGAGTAGATCCAGATGTCGAGAAATGAGAAGGGATGGGAGAGAAGTTGTCCCAACGCGATCCTGCCAGCCAGCACTCCGAGGCTGTGATTACACATGGCAATTTGCTTCGCTAAACCCTGGCCACGAAGGATGGGCTGCAGCTTCAGGTTTCATCGCCTCCCTTGGCTTCTGGGACACAGGATTTAGAGATCGTTTCCAAGATGCTCTGATGAGGGCCTGGTCCATTTCTCTCTAACTTGAGCCCCCAGCTGTTACCCCGAGATGGGGCTGTAACCTATGACTTCTTTAATAAAAGCCCCGAGTGGGTGCTTCTCCCTTCTCCGCTGGCGAGTTTGCCAGTATCTCCAGCTGCTTTTGCCAAGCTAATTACAACCCTACTCGGGCCTCTGCAGGAAGCCCTACGCCTCTAACCTTGGGGCTGGAAAGGACTTGCTTTTTCTTACTCATTTTCTTTTTTAAACAAATGAACACTATTTTGTATATTTTATTGGTTTTTTTTACAGAGAGGAAGGGAGAAGGATAGAGAGTTAGAAACATCAATGAGAGAGAAACACCAATCAGCTGCCTCCTGCACACCTCCTACTGGGGATGTGCCCACAACCAAGGTACATGCCCTTGACCGGAATCAAACCTGGGACTTCTCAGTCCGCAGACCAACGCTCTATCCACTGAGCCAAACCGGTTAGGGCAGTGAACACTATTTTGATTTTGAAGGGTTGTGAGAGATGGAGGTCAACAATTGGTCCAGGTGGAGGATGAGGGTGTGGCCAGTCTTCCCTTGGGTTCTGGAATGCTATGTGTTTGGGTAGAGCATGCCTATCTTGGGTACCACTCCAATGGGGCTCTGTGTTGAGATCAACTCTTCTGGTGACCCCTCTGCTTCTTCCCTCCAGTCCCAGGCGACTCAGGTGAAATTGAGCAAACACAGGCATTAGAGCAGCTCTAAGGAAGATCATCCTTAAACCATATAGCCTGGGAGTTGGGAGAGCAACTTGACCTCTGTTCATAATGCAGGGCAGCTAGAGGGTGGATTGCATATAAGTCTGAGGTCATTTTAGGATGGAGGGAGCAAGGCCACCTCTTGTCCCCTTCCAAGCACTGCCAGACACACGTTTGACAAGGTCCTAAAGGCTCGTGACAAGGTCCAGAGGTTCTTCAATCTCTGTGGTTGGGTAGAGCCTGGACCTGGGTGTCAGGAATCTTCAAGTGACTGTGTGACCTTGGGCAAGTCCCCTCCTCCCTCTGGTCCCTTCGTTTCCCATGTACCAAATGACCATGTGATTTGACCAGATGGTCTCAAAAAGGCCCGTATACCTCTAATGCCTGGGCTCTAAGCTCTGCTTCTGGAAGCAGCTTCTACTGCTGGGTTTAACTTAGCACACACCCCGGATTTCTGATGGGGATGCAGAAAGAGCCACTGGAGGAAGGAATGATACAGGGAGCTGACCAGGCCCCTGGCTTGGCTGTCAGCCTTTCCTATCCCAGGTCAATTTCTCTGTTCTTGGCTGCAAATGATGCAGATCATGGGCATGGGGTCCCAGCTGGTCTAGGCCTTGAGTGGTGCTTCCGAGTGTGGACTGTGGACACCTGCACTACAGTCACTTGGGGAGTTGGTTAAATGTGCAAGGGCTTGAGCCCTTCAGACCTGGGATCAGGATCTCTGTGGGTGGAGCCTCCAGAGACCTGCATTTTACTCCACAGCAGAATGAACAATAATTGTAAGCAACATTTACTGCGTACTCACTTTGTGCCAAGAACAAATCTCAGGGCTTTACAGGTATTAACCCACTTTGCCTCACAGCTACAACACGGTGAGGTCAGTTCTGTAAGCAGGCTCCCCAGGCTCTTCCAGGCGATGTTTATGCGCTGACCTGGGGGAGGGGACATTACTCCTGTTTAGTGAGATGGGGGGGTCTGGATGCCCTGAGCCTCCCAGTCAGACAGTGCCTTCTACCCTTAGGACAGAGCACTTATGAGCAGCTTGATCGAGGCCGACACTAGCTGGCGGGGTGAGGGCCGGAGACACCCTCAGCGATTCCAAGCTGTCTTCTCAGTGCGCTGGGTGGGGCCACCTCTCACAGCCGAAGAGGCCATGCGGGGAGACCTTGCTGGGGAGAGGGCACAGGCCAGGAAGGGAGATCTCTTCTCTGGGCCTCAGTTCCCTCTGGACCAGAGGCTCCCTGAGGCCTCTCTTAGCTCCCGGATGCCATGAAATGGCCATTGGCTATGTGAAGATGCACCGATTAACAAGCGGGATCACCCCGCCTGACATAAGTGGGCCCAGAAGATGGGTCCAAGTCCTGAAAGCCTCGGCATGGAGATGGGGCTGGGTAGGTGGCGCTGCTGGCAGTTCGGTGTGACCTCTGAGGAAGAGAGGATGAAGAGAATGGTGGGCTTTGGGTCAAATGTCTCTTCTGTCTCCAGTGAGAAGATATCAGAGCTGCTAGGGCCCTTGGAAGTCTTTACAGGAGGGGACACTGAGGCCTGGAGAATTTGCTTAAACTCCCACTCAAGCTCAGTCTCAAGACCAGAATGGCACACTTGTCTCCCAGGCTCTTTCCGAAAGCTTTGCTCCGTGGCATTGATAGAAGAAGCCATTCCTCCCAGGGAACCTCATATTTAGAGAATGTGAATGATGGTATTAAACCCCCAAAGTCCCAACGCACCAGCCAACCGAGCCCAGGGCTTGGAGGCTAATTATGTGTTTGTTCATGAATCACAGGCTGTTCTTGCTGAAGAGACCCACGGGCAGTGCGCCTGCTCCAAGCGCGTCTCCTCCTGGGCAGGGACCGCGTCTCAGTGTCCAGGTGAGCTGTCTGTTCAGCTCATGGAATTCCTGCACCAGTGCCAGACGCCAGGCTGTGCCCCCTCCCAGAACAGGGCCTGGGCCGAGTGGCTGCCGTGACTGTGGATGCAGCTGCCTCCTGGGAGAGGAGGGTGTAATTAGGGAGCTTTGTGGGTCTTTAACTGGCATTTGTCACGGCTGCCAAGCAGCACCAGACGGCGTGGGCTATTAGGCTGCTGTGTGCTGGGCTCCCAGAAGCCTCTGGCTGCCTGCAACACTTGCTGAAAATCCCAGGGCCCAGCTGGCTCTCCAGCCCCGTGTCTGCAGCCTCTCCCTCCCCCAAGGGCTCTGCAGCTGGGTCTGAGGTGGGCTCTTTGGAGGTCCTTTGGAGCAGTCAGTTCCAGCTGTGGCAGGAAAAGTGCTGGAAAACAGGAAACCGCTGCATGTGGTGCCGGGGTGGGCTCTGCATACATGAGGATTTATAAAAAGGAAAATGTGCAAATTCTTGTAATATTTGTCAAGCTGAGTGTGGTCCATTTTCAACAACAGTGGCTCTGTTCCCACAAAGGAGTTATCTTTCCCTCCTTCTCCCAAGCCAGGAGGTACCCTGCCTTGGCCCTGGCCCTTCCTGGGGCTGGCTGATGCCCCCTCCCTAGGTGGGCAATGCAGACTCAGATGGATCCTCAAGGTGTCTCACCCACACCCTCATTGACAGATGGGAAACTCCACAGACTGTCCTGGGCTTGCCAAACTGTGGGCATTTAATTTAGTGCCCAAGCCTCTGACACTTGAGCTGTGACACCATTTTGAAGCACGTAGGGTATAGGAGTCCACAGTATAAATAAGTGCTGCCTAGCACGTCACCAGCAGCCATTAGAGCTTCAACTTGTGTAAGTGACTCCAAGAAGATGTTTGGTTTCCATGTTCCTTTACCATCGAAGACCTTCAAGAGACTAGTTTGTCATTGCCCATCTTAAACTTCAGGGTGGAACTGAGCACAGCACTACAGATGTGGCCTGATCAGGGAAGTGTAGAGTAAGACCATAACCTCCTTTTTTCTACACTGAATACTTCTTTTAATACAGTGATGTTACCTTTTGTGGGCAGTCTTCATTCTTTGTTACCATCAATAAGTCTTTCTCCTGGGGTGGGTGTCAAGTCACTTTTTCCCTGTCCCCTGTTTAGGCTGTTTATTTTCTGTTTTCAAGTCTGCGCCTGACTTTTAACTATGGAAGTTAATTTTTATAGATGTATCCATAGCTTAATCTGGCCCCATTTCTTTGCACTGGAATTCATTGGCCAAATTATCATTCTTTCTTTTCTTCACTAGTCTACATACTTGGTCAAGCCCTTAATGCAACAGTACAGCAGGCCAGGGCTTGGATGGGCTGTGAATAAATGAAAAATCAAGGTTTGGGTGGGTGAGAGATGAGCTTGGGTTTTGTCCTCAGAGTAAGCTTGGTGAAGGCAGGGGAGGGGTACATTGAGGTGAGGCCAGATTGGGAAGCCTGGATTACTCTGAGTAATGGGCCAGACTCAAGACTCCATGAGTTCAGCGGAACACAGACCATAGAAATGCTTTCTCCACCCAGCCAGTTTATGCCTTATATACTTTCATCTGAAATTCCTTCCTCTGACTCAGGGTTTTTGCTCATTAAAAGGAGAGGCACTGCCTTAACACTCAAAGTACTTACCCAGGAGTCTGGAGCTCTGGGCTTTTAGCTCTGGGCCTCAGTTTCCCTGCTTTCTACATTCCCCACAAAATAATGAGAATGTAGGATCAGCAGTTCTTAACCCTTTGCGAGTTAGAGATCCCTTTGGACCTCAGATAGAAGGTACACATGCTCACAGAAATCCTTAGTCCCTTGACTAAGAATGCCAAGGTTAGAAGCACTTGGAGGCCTTCCTGTCTATGAAGTTCATCTGTGGATGTGCTTGGAACAACCACACACATTTGCACAGGACACCCTCACATCCATTCTCCCATTTGTTCCTCACAACAGCCTTAAGAGGGGGCAGAGATGACCATCACCATTTAACAGATGACAAAGCTGAGCTAGGAGGCCTCACACTTCATTCAAGGTCCAACAGCTGGCTAGTGATACATAGATATTCAAGGCCAGGGCCAGTCTTCGTGTCCCCTATCTCCATGTTCTATACATAATGTATATATACAAAATTATCATCACCCTTGACCTCAAACACCAAACCTTTGTGAATTTAGCTCCATTCCAAGATCACACCATGCCTATGGGAGCATCTGGACCTACCACCTTTGAGCTCAAAGTGCATCCTAAGTTTTCTGGGACTTACTCTAGGCCAGTGATGGCGAACCTATGACACGTGTGTCAGAGGTGACACGCGAACTCATTTTTTTGGTTGATTTTTCTTTGTTAAATGGCATTTAAATATATAAAATAGATATCAAAAATATAAGTCTTTGTTTTACTATGGTTGCAAATATCAAAAGATTTCTATATGTGACACGGCACCAGAGTTAAGTTAGGGTTTTTCAAAATGCTGACATGCCAAGCTCAAAAGGTTCACCATCACTGCTCAAGGCTTCTCAGTGTTTCTTTGTGGACTAGTCCCCAGAAGGGAGAGCCCAGGCATCAGCTGAGTGGCAGCAGTCTCTTCCAGTGAGACAGGAAGTAGTGCAGATAGTTTCCTTTATTGGGAAGCTGACTGAAATAAACCTAGATAGAGCACCTGTGAGACATGTTAACAAAGATTAACAAAGAGACAGGCTGTTGGTGGTGGTGATGGGCAGGGTGGGGAGGGGCTGGAGTGAGGCCCAGGCAGTGCAAAAAACAAGCTTCCAATGGTCTTTCCCACCAAATCAACAGCACGGTCCTGTCTCTGCTGGCTGCTACGGCTCCTCCCGGCAGGCCGCCATGTTTGTGGCCTTAACGTCTTTCCCGGGTTCAGGGCCTATTTATTTGTTCTTATTAAAAGTGTTGAGTCACTTTTTCCCTGCCCCCTGTTTAGGTTGTTTATTTCTGTTCTCAAGCCTGGACCTGACATTTGACTAGACCAACGCTCTATCCACTGAGCCAAACCGGTTTCGGCATAGGTTGTTTATTTCTGTTCTCAAGCCTGGACCTGACATTTGACTATGGAAGTTCATCTTTATGGACGCCCCATAGCTTAATTGGGACCCATTTCTTTGCACTGGATTTCAAGCTATGTTCAAATAGTAAGCTCATGTACTGTGAGGGATGCAGAGATGTATAAAATGCTGTTCCTGCTTTAAGGGACCCATAGAGATGAAACATGAAACGCGTATTGACTGGTGAAGGAGGCAGAAAGGGACATATGTCATGTAGAGGTGGCTGTGGTTTGGGCCATATGGAGGTCAGGAAGACCACCTGCATGGGAGAGTAGCTAATGCTGACTCATGGAATGTGGGAACGCTTCCTAGAGGGGACTGCTATTGAGCCAGACTTGGAAGTATGGTAAATACTTGGATGAGGATGCAGGGCACTCTTGGTGGGGGGAATTGCTTGGGCAAAGCCATGGCAGTAGGAAGACATGGGGGAAGTCAAAGAGGTTTGCTGACCAGGCCATAGGGCATAAGTTGAGTATGTGGGGACAGGGTTCAAAGGCAAGCTAGTTTTTGGTACCAAAGATTGGCCTTGGCTTAAAAACAATGGGAGTGTTGGCGAGATGATCCTGACTCGTGTGTTCTCTCCCCTTGCACAGGCCATGCCACTGAAACACTATCTCCTTTTGTTGGTGGGCTGCCAAGTCTGGGGTGCCGGGCTGGCCTACTATGGCTGCCCTAGTGAGTGTACCTGCTCCAGGGCCTCCCAGGTGGAGTGCAGCGGGGCGCGCATTGTGGCAGTGCCCACCCCTCTGCCCTGGAACGCCATGAGCCTGCAGATCCTCAACACACACATCACCGAACTCAACGAGTCCCCATTCCACAATATCTCGGCCCTCATTGCCCTGAGGATTGAGAAGAATGAGCTATCCCAAATCATGCCTGGTGCCTTCCGCAGCCTGGGCTCGCTGCGTTACCTCAGCCTCGCCAACAACAAGCTTCAGGTTCTGCCTATCGACCTCTTCCAGGGCCTGGACAGCCTTGAATCGCTCCTTCTGTCGAGCAACCAGCTGGTGCAGATCCAGCCAGCACACTTCTCCCAGTTCAGCAACCTCAAGGAGCTGCAGTTGCATGGCAACTACTTGGAATACATCCCTGATGGCGTTTTTGACCACTTGGTGGCCCTCAACAAGCTCAATCTGTGCAAGAACAGCCTCACCTACCTCTCGCCCAGGATCTTCCAGCGCCTGGGCAACCTCCAAGTCCTCCGGCTGTGTGAGAACAGGCTCTCAGACATCCCCATGGGCACTTTTGATGGGCTGAGCAACCTCCAAGAGCTATCCCTGCAGCAAAACCAGATCGGAGTGCTCTCCCCCGGCCTCTTCAACAACAATCGTAACCTCCAGAAGATCTATCTGTCCAACAACCACATCTCCGAGCTGCCCCCCGGCATCTTCATGCAGCTGCCCCAGCTCAACCGACTCACGCTCTTTGGGAATTCCCTGAAGGAGCTCTCTCCAGGGATCTTTGGGCCCATGCACAACCTTCGAGAGCTTTGGCTCTACGACAACCACCTCACTTCTCTACCTGACAACATCTTCAACAACCTCCGCCAGTTGCAGGTCCTGGTCCTCAGCCGCAACCAGATCGGCTACATCTCTCCCGGCGCCTTCAACGGGCTGGGAGAGCTGCGGGAGCTGTCCCTCCACACCAATGCGCTGCAGGAGCTGGACGGGAACGTCTTCCGCATGTTGACCAACTTGCAGAACATTTCCCTGCAGAACAACCGCCTCAGACAGCTCCCAGGGAATATCTTCGCCAATGTCAACGGCCTTATGAACATCCAGCTGCAAAACAACCAGCTAGAGAACCTGCCAGTGGGTATCTTCGATCACCTGGGGAACCTATGTGAACTTCGACTCTATGACAACCCCTGGAGGTGTGACTCAGGCATCCTTCCACTCCACAATTGGCTCCTGCTCAACAAGCCCAGGTTGGGGACAGACACCCTCCCAGTGTGTTTCAGCCCAGCCAGTGTCCGGGGCCAGTCCCTCATCATCATCAATGTCAACATTGCTGTTCCCAGTGCCCAAGCCCCAGTGACCCCTGAGGTGACCAGCTACCCAGAAACACCAAAGTACCCAGAAACTTCCAGCTATCCTGAAACCACTTCCATCTCCTCAGTCACTGAGTCCACCAGCTCCGTGGAGGTATTCACCGATCTGACCACCATCCAGGTCACTGATGACCGCAGCACCTGGGGCATGACCCGGGCCCAGAGCGGGCTGGCCATTGCTGCCATTGTCATTGGCATCATTGCCCTGGCCTCCTCCATCGCTGCCTGCATCTGCTGTTGCTGCTGTAAGAAAAGGAGCCACGCAGTCCTGATGCAGATGAAGTCACCCAATGAGTGTTAAAGAGGCAGGCTGGAGGCAGGGCTGGGGAATGGTGGGACCACTGGAGCATCTGGGAATTTCATCCTTCGACCTTCACCCTTGGGTCCACAGAGCCATCCCCTGCTCCCTCTCTCTGATCCTTGAGAGGAGGGTACCCTCACCTTTTCCTGACCTGCTCTTGCAGGACCTTCTTACCACCAGAGAGATCTGACCCTGCAGGGTTTCCAATTCACATTCCTGGGCTTTTTTCAAGAAAGCCCCTCCTCCAAAGCCTCACCAGCTCTCCTCTGGGAACAACCTTCCCTGTGCCCATGCCCCTGCTGGCCTCTGTAGACACACTTATTCCATGCCTGTTCACTTTATGGAAATAGTTCTCCACCGGGACAGCCTCTCTCCCGAGTATTCTGTAAGTTGATTTTCTTCTTTTGCTCCGTTTATTGTTTGTGGCATGGCTCCCCCCTGTCACTTCAGATGAAGTTCTCCTTTGATTTTCTGCACCTGAAGGCAAGGTGAGCCCTATCCTCAAAGAAGGCTTCAACCCATTTAACTGTTTCTTCAGAACTGCCACGCACCCTGGTTCTCAGGATGCTGTGAAAGAGATAGGAGAGAATGAGGCTGCTCAGTCCCTAGAGACAGAGCCATCATCAGGATCCCCCATGATTTTTATCTGGAAAAGGAAGTGAGACCAGTTCAGCCTTTCAGAGGATGGCATTTCCAAGCTGCAAACTTAGCTTTACATTTTTCAGTCTTTAAGAAATAAAATCGTGTAGAATTTCTGACCTGTAGCAATGCTAAAATCAGCTTATTAGTACTGGATGGAGAAAGCAGCCTGGTACCTGGGGGTTCTTGTGTCTACCCCTAGGGTTTTTCTCTTTTAACTCTTTATTGAAGGGAAACATACATGCCGAGCACAAAAGTGTATGGCTTGATGGATTTTCACAAACTGTACACACCCTGTAATCAGTGTCCTGATCAGCAAACAGGATATCACCAGTATCCTCTATCACAGTCATTTACTGAAGAAGACTGGGGTTTATGGAGACAGCATGGACTTGCCTGGGAATTGGCTCCCCCTGCGCCAGGATGGTCCCTCTGCTCCCCCCTCCCACTCAGTCAGCCCTTGTGAAGGCCCAGCTGCCAGAGTGGAGAAGATATGGGTACCTGCTGGCCTGGACAGAAGATTTTATTAAATTCTCAGATCCTGAAGCTCCCAGATTGGCCAGGCCAGAGGCATCTCAACTATAGAGGCCCACACAGCCACGCACCCTTCTCCACCAACAAGCTGTCTGCTTGCTGTTCATTGGAGGCCCTTCTGCCTGGACCTTTTCATGGGCATGATACACCTATATACCTATGTCTGTTTTTAATTTTCACTCTCCATTTGGGGGAAGTGAAATACCTCAGAGATGAGATCCTTTAATTGAACATCCAAGTGTAATGGAACCCAGCAATCCCTGGAATGTGGTGGTGAAATTCTCCATCAGCATTACAGTCAGCTAGAAACAGAATGTCAGAATTCTTATACAGAGCAGGAAACACCAGGATACGCCGATAAGTCACACTGGGCCCGGGGCCTCTCTGGAGCCACTCTGACCAGTGGTCTGGTTATAAGTGTTGTGTGGTCCAAGGTTATTCACCCCTTGAGTTACAATCATTTGAATACCTGCCCTTGCCACCCTTCCTGCTGCATACATATGCACTCTGGTAAATAAATTATGCTTATAGCAATGGACATCTTTCTCTGGACAACTGGTCTACCAGTTTAAAAGTAAAAGTTCTAAATGGAGAATTTCAAGTGTCCATGTTTGCTCAGGAAAGAGCTATAGCCAAGACTATAAAGATTTGGAAATCTTCCATCAATCCTGATTGCCTCTTACAGGTTCCCTCTGCTCCATAAGACAAGTAAAGAAATCTCTTGGGGCTTCAGCAGAATGATGCGGACAGGGTCCCCCCCAAAAAGGGTCGAGGAAGGGATGCGCCTAAGAACTAGCGCTCTTGGTAGCTTCTTACTCTCTGTTCCAGGGAATCTGTGAGAGATAGGGCCTGTCAGAGGCAAAAGACATCATCTCCCCAAGGTAAATCTAAGTTTCCAAAATATTTGTAGCAACTGGTTGATGTGTACCAAAGCTTGCTGGGGCCTGACAGTAAGTGAGCTCAGAGCTTGGGGCATGACCATCATTCCACCAATGGTAGTCTGTATCCTGGGGCCAAAGAGGGAAGCTCAGCCTGCTCTGCTTCAAGCAGGACACATGGTTTGGCACTGCATTCCTCAAGTTCCTCCTTATGAGCCACCTCAACTGTCTCCTTGAGCAAAAGCACTACTGGGCCAGAGGTGGCAGAGCGGTGAGGAAGGAGTCCTCTTCATCCAGTGTGTCCTGCCACTCTGATCCCAGAACCCTGGGTGCTTCCAGCATTGGCTGTGACATTGGAGTACCTCCCTCTCTGGCCCACGATATCAACATGTGTTCCCAGGCCAAAGGCTGGCCTGAGGGCGGCTGTGCTCAGATGACCCCACCCAGGAGCACTCCAGGTGGGGGGGTGGTAGGCCCTTTACCTGACCTTCCGAGCTTGTCTGTTCCCATCAGAGTGGATTGGATGGAGCCATCCAGCCTCCTCTTCTTTGGCAGGTCTTTTGGCCTCTGAGCCATGTTGTCTGGTCCGGGAGCTGCCAGAAAAGCTGAGTAGTTTCCTTTCCAACAGGACGATGCATTTGCTCACTTCTCAGGGCTGGAGCGAGCCACTTGCCCCCCCTAGAATAGAGGCAGGGCACAGAGTTCACTTCACTTCCCCCCTCTGCTCATGAGCTTCTTGGACACCTTGCTGGTACCAGTAGACTGCATTTGGAGCAGAGGGTCAATGTTGGAGGAAAAATAATAAAAGCCAGTGAGAACCACTGTTTTCCAAAAGTGCTTACTGTGCATAGCTACCCTTGAAAGCACTTAACAGCCATTTTCTTTTTAATCCTCACAACACCCCCGTGCATGAGTGCTACCTTATCCCCTGTGATGGGGTCTTAAACTGCCCTTTTTCTGCAACATTTTCCTTCTCTCTTCAAACTTTGTACAAGACCACGTGGCCTGTACTGGGCTTTCATCATTGAACCAAAGAAAATGGGAGTCAGTCTCCTGTTGTTCCCCAGAGTCTTAGCCACGGAAACCTCACTTGGCACTGTGCGGATCAAAAACTTTGTAAATGCAGGGGAAAATTAAACTCATCCATCCGTCAAAGAAAAATTGGCCCCTCTCATGGAAATTGTTGGGCTGTGTGTATCTTGTTCCCTTCTTTAGCATTCAAAGGCACAACACAGTTCTCAGAACTCTTAATGGGCGACAGTTTCCACAACCTTCTAGATGTCAGTGTAGAGCAGTTACAGGAATCTAGTTCTAAACTCAGGAAGCTGATGGGGAGCGGACAGCTAGAGATAACTAGATAACTAGAGTAGGTAGGCAGACAGTAGATGCATCCCAGCCATTAGCTGCAAACCTCTCAAAGAATTTAGCCCACGGATCCCGCAGTCAAAACTGAGTCCGGGTTGTTGGGAAGGCGGCGGTGGTCTTGGGGAGGAAGCCGTCTCAGAACGGGTGGGCGGGTGTCCTCCAGGCCAGGCTCCTCCCAGTCTGTGCTTTCTCCTTCACCTAAGGATGCATCGTTCTCACCAACCCATTGCCTTCATGCTGCCTTCAAAAGTAGACCGTGTTTGCCTTGCTTAGAGAATAATTGCAAATAGTCCCAGGAGTTTGGGGATGCATTTAGAGATTTCTAGGCCCCCGGGGTTTTATACAGTGTGAGCCCTGGTGGGCAGGGTTGGGGGTCCATCTTTGCTGGGCTCTGTCTTTGCTGAATACTGCTTGTAACAAATTTGGTGTACAGAATCAACAATAAATGGCTTACACAGGACACATGCACTCTTTTAAAAAAATTGTATTGATTAAAGTATTACAAATGTGTCTTTATCTCCCATTGTATATGTGCTCTTTATGGTGTCTTGGCTATGGAGTCCCACTCTTTTACAAAATTTTTTCTTCTTTTTTTAATTTGATTTTTTTTTTTTTTTTTTTTTACAATATACAAAATAGATCAGTCTCTAAGCGGTCTCCACTCTCAGGTGTCAGGGTTCTCTCCTGTGAGTTTTCCGTTGATGATTCAGGAAGTTTTTCTGTATTTTAGTTGTAATTCCAGTTTGTTCCTGGGAGCATGTCCATACAATACCCACTTACTCTGCCTGCCCCTTTCCCCCGATCCTGGTGATCCCACTCTTGTCATATGTGTGCAAGGCTGACCCAGACAGCCCCTCACAAAGAGTAGATTCTGGGCTGGGAAAGGTCCTCAGAAAGTGAGTGGGGACCAAACATGTAATAACAAATCATATCTATAGGCCACTGTGTTGGGAAGGGGCCTTAACAATAGGATCAGCCCATGTTACAGAGGAAGAGAGTATGATCAAGGCAGGAAGTGAACTACTGGCTGAGCGTGCACACAAGCAGCCTTCCAGACTCCCAGGCTGGAGTTGCTTCTATGTCACCAGAAGGGCACTGACGTTCACTCAGTACTCGTTTAATGTGCCCGTGCACACACATGTACGCACATGCACATGGACTTAGGTGGGTGGGACTACCCTGCGTCTCTGGACTCCTATTGGTGCTTTACACCAGGCTCAGTGAGTCACAGGCTCTCAAGAGACACCATCTGAGTGAAGGCGACTCCTACCACATGTCCAGGCGACCCCAGGACTACTTCAGGTCTCCGGGTTCCAGGGGCTGCCACAGCTGTTGGCACAGGTCCACTTCTTAAGAGGGAGCCAATCCCCTCTGCTGTTCCTGTGTCCCATCGCCATGCCTAGGAAAGGGCTTCAACGCCTATTTTTCTGGAATCTCTTAGTTCTTAGATCCCTTCTGCAGATGTGAGCCTGTCCCAGGAGGCTGGACCTGGACAAGGGTCAATAGTGTGTTCACTATATCACTGGACTGGACCGTTTTTGTTGTTGCTGTTGAATTGATTTCAGAGAGGAAGGGAGAGGGAGAGAGAGACAGAAACATCAATGATGAGAGAGAAACATTGATCGGCTACCTCCTGCACTTCCCCCACTGGGGATCGAGCCAGCAATCCTTCAGTCCATAGGCCAATGCTCTATCCACTGAGCCAAACCAGCTAGGGCTGGACTGTTTTGATGACTGGGGGCAGGGCCTTGTTGTCCTTCCCTAACCACTGCACCTGTCCACTCAGACAGGTGTCTGTAATAATGGGAAAAGGAGTTAGAGCCTTTATCCCAGCTCATAGAAGATTCCTGGAGTTCTTAATGCAAATCTTCACTACATACATGCACACATGTCCTTCCAGCTGCACATATCTGCAGTGTAATTTGACACATGTGTGTACACACACACACACACACACACACACACACACACGCCTCCCCAGGCCCTTTGCCACAGATGAGAATGAAGAGACTAAATAACTTGTGGAAAGACTGGCTAGTTTATTGAAGAAGCAAGGTTCAAACCCAGATCTGTGGAATGTCAAATTTCTGTTGCTCACCGTGACATTGACAAACAGACACATTCTCTTTGTGGAGGCCAGTGTCGCTGCCTTAAGAACCTGTCCCCTTAGCTTGGGTGCGAGTTTCCTCCAGAGGTATGCCCACCTCCCCACCCTGCCAGCCTGCCCCACCCAGCCTGGCTGCTGCCAAGGGTGGGGCTGGGAGCACTCTGTTCACAGCCTTTCTCCCCTCTTACATGCCCCCATGTTTCCTGCCAGAGTGCAGATTGTCATATGTCCCCATTGAAAAATGCTACACGGTGTCAGGCCTTTGCAATTTGGCTGATGAAATCTGCTCACATGCAAAAAAAACACCATTAGTTTGGACTTGAAAAAGAATAAATATTGATATCATGTGAT